TCCATTATCTCCCGCATCGACCAATCGTGCGTGAGGACAAGCAGACTACGAAAATTCGGGCAGTTTTCGACGCTTCGTGTCAGGTTAACGGCCCCTCACTTAACCAATGTTTGTATTCAGGACCAAATCTTATTGCCAAGATATTTGACATCCTAGTGAGATTTAGGCTTAATAAGATAGGCATCCTAGCAGATATAAAACAGGCGTTCCTTAACATCGCTATATCTAGGGAGCATAGAGATTTTGTACGGTTTTTGTGGTATGACCTCAATTCGAAAGAGGAAAAAATAATCACTTACAGATTTTTACGGGTAGTTTTTGGACTAACGAGTAGTCCTTTCTTGTTAAACGCGACGTTGAGGCACCACCTTAGCAAGTATGTAGAGAAGGAGAGTGCAGTCGTAGAGCGTATTCGCGAGGATTTGTACGTAGATGATTTGGTTAGTGGAGGCGATAGCGTTGGTACAGCTAAGGAAATATATGAGACTAGTAAAGCCATTATGCTAGAGGGAGGGTTTGAATTACGTAAGTGGGTAACTAACGATCCAGAACTTCGAGCATATATTTCATCGACAATGGGTGACAAACCTAATTCCCCACCCCTAGGGGAAGATCTTACTTATGTCGAGGTAATGTCGCCTAATTTAGTTACGCCAAATCAGGCTGTCTTAGGTGTTGCGTGGGATACCATCACGGATGAGTTTGTTTTTCAGTTCGATAATTTCTTGAGCAAATGTGCGAGCCTGAAGCAAACCAAGCGGAATTTACTGAGTGCATCGGCCTCGATTTTCGATCCATTGGGTGTGATTGCTCCCGTCACCGCCAGAATCAAAACAATATTTCAGTTGTTATGTAAAGGAAAATTAAATTGGGATGACCTTATCCCACCGGCACTTGCGTCAATTTGGAACAAGTTTTTAGAGGAATTAAAATGTCTGCGGGAAGTAAGACAACCTCGGTTTGTTTTTCATTTAAATTTTCATTCCGGAATCCGAGTTGAACTTCACGGGTTTTGTGATAGTTCAAAAGAAGTCTATAGTGCGGTCATTTATCTGCGGTTTGTTTGCAGTAAAAGTGCAAAAGTGTCTTTTTTGGCGGCGAAAACCAAGGTGGCGCCTTTAAAAACCCTTACTATTCCCAGGTTGGAACTATTGGGGTGTTTGTTATTGAGCAAGTTGATCAATGAGGTTGTACTTGGTATACGAGGGCGTGTAGAGTTGGATGAAATATTCTGTTGGTCGGATTCAGAGGTGGCGTTGAGTTGGATAAGGGGAAAGGAGCGAAGCTGGGAACCTTGGGTGGAGAATAGAGTTGTCACCATTAGAAAGGTTGTCGATCGTGAGCGGTGGAATTTTGTTAAAGGAGAACTGAATCCTGCAGATATCCCCACTAGGATATCAACTAGTCTAGTTGAGTGTTTCTCAGGATGTTGGTTTACTGGTCCTTCGGTGTTGTTGTCTCAACCTTCTGCATACAGAGGCGAGAGAAGTGATACCCTTTGTGATCAAACGTCTTTGGGCGGGAAGGTTGTGGAAGAGGTTAGTCATTCTTCTGATGTTCTTTTCAACAACGCGACACGGAATGACATATCAGGCGAAACGTGTTCATTGTCTGATGTCATAGACTGCACTCGGTATAGCTCGTTGTACAAATTGGTTGTCACCACCGGTTACGTAATAAGATTCTTGAACAATTTGCGAAAACGAACGAAGAACCATGGAAACTTAATCACGGAGAACGTTCTAACGGCTGACGAATACGAGCAAGCGTTACACATGTGGATTAAAGAAGAACAATCTCTGATAAAGGGACAATCAAATTTTGCTAACGTTTGTGCTTCATTGAATTTGTTCGAAGACAAAGACGGATTTTTACGGTTAAAGGGACGGTTCGCTAATTCTAATCTGCGGTACCAAGACCAGCATCCAATGATATTACGAGGAAACGAAAGCTATTTCACACAATTAGTCATTTGGGACGCGCATAAGGCGAGTATGCACCACGGAGTGAAGTCGACATTGGCAAGAGTACGGTCAAACTACTGGATTGTGAAAGGGAGAAAAAGTGTCAAGGAAGTCCTCAGAAAATGTGTGATTTGCAAACGGTACCAAGGAAAGCCGATGTGTGCTCCTGCTAGTCCTGATCTGCCACAGTGTAGAATCGATCATTCGGGATTCGCGTTTCAAGCGACGGGCTTGGATTTTGCTGGACCGTTGTTTGTGAAAGATGGTGCAGAAACGGTCAAGACGTACATTCTACTGCTAACGTGTGCCACAAGCAGAGCGATCCACCTCGAACTGGTCTACTCGATGTCAAGTGACGGATTTTTGCGAGGATTTCGGAGATTTGTAGCTCGTAGGGGTGTGCCGGATGTCATTATCAACGACAACTTTAATTTCAAGTCAGCGGAGGTCAAACGATTCATGTCATATCAAGGCATTCGGCAACAGTTTATTCTACCAGCGTCCCCATGGTGGGGTGGCTTTTACGAGCGACTCGTCCGGACAGTTAAGGGTTGTTTAAAGAAGACTCTCGGGAGAGCATATACGACATTCGAAGAGCAGCAGACAATCTTGTGCGAAGTAGAAGTGGCAATCAACAATCGGCCACTTACGTATGTCAGCGAGGATGATTTGGACGAACCTTTGACGCCATTCCACCTGATGTACGGGCGAGGCTACTGCAATCGGATGAAAAACACGGATACCATACTTACGGCGAGCCTTGGACAGTACAAACAGCGGTTGAAACACTTACGGAAAATATTGAGAGATTGTTGGACGCGGTTTCGAAGGGAATATTTGAACGAGCTGAGACAAATGAACCTCTACCGGAAAAGGAAAACCAATACGCGAGGTCTGACCGTTGGTGATGTTGTTTTGATTAAAGAGGATGAACCAGCACCTCGGGCACAGTGGAGGATTGGAAGAGTCTTGCAGCTGGTGAAAGGACGTGATGGACTGGTCAGGGGAGCTAAATTGAAGGTTCTATCAAAGAGTGGATCTTAGTCGTCGGTTCACAGACCGTTACAAAAGCTAATACCTTTCGAGATCGTCCAGGATGACGTCGACAAGCATGAAGGGGATGACAACGATAGGAACGCAGAACAGCATAACACGACTGAGACCGAGTCAAGAGCGGATGAGCGAAAAGGAAGTAGAAGACCAACGAGGAAGGCAGCGATCGATGGAGAAAACTTGCGGAGAATTCGCGAACAGTATACATAGCGAAACATTTAAACTGTTAGCGAATCTTTCCGGTTGGGGAGGATGTAGAAAACATTAATCTAGTGCATGACGTTTTACATTACACATTTATTTACTTTTAATAACATTATTGGTTCTGTTATAATCACGTGAGCTGTCACGTGGTGAGACGATTAAAAAGACACGTGTAGGGCAATCGGAAGTTAGTTGGGATAAAACGGACAACATGTAAATTTATGTTGCGTTATTTATATTAAAATAACTATATAAAAAGCAAGTGTGAGAGTGCTTTTTACATACAGTAAGGCATATCAAGACACATTGCCACTTGTGAAGGGTTAACATATGTGTATATCATTATGATATTTTTGTGATGTGAAGATGTATAATATGTACGTATCATATGATGATAATAATGTCATCTTTTATTTTGCAGAAATTATATGTACACAAAAGATGGCACTGAGACATCAACATGCAGAAAAACATGCAGAACAACAAAATGAATTAGTTAATTATTATACCATGCATAACAACATAAATAATTATATTATTATGATAACTTTATTGAAGTGTAAATAAGTTTTATAGCAATTAAAATTATACATTTTTGTTTTTTAAATTGTTTACTGCTAATAATTTTACAAAAAAGTCAAATACACCTTTCTAGAATGTATTTCACCTTGGCTATGGAGCCTCATTTTCATGTATGTGGCATGAGTTAGTCCAATGTCTCAATCATGAAAATGAATCTCTATAGCCAAGGTGACATAATTTCTGGAAGCATGTATTAAAATACAGTATGTTCAGTTTCCAAAGATATGTGTGGCTTGGTACTGTAACTTTCCACCCAGAAAGGAGTGTGTCATTGTGGAATAAATCTGCAATAAACAAGAGTCAAGAGTAGATTAACTATGTGGGTTGTATTAACTGTGGTTGTACAAAAATCCACCAGTAACATAATTAGCATATGATCAAGGTAAACAAAAGAATGTGACCTAACTCCTCAGCTTAAACCAGGGGTATCAGAACTATGAGTGCATTTATAAAGGTGCATTGCTCATTCAGAGTGATATTTACTGAGAAAACTTGTAGGAAAACAGGCCATCCTGGAAATGAGGTGTGATCACACATGTATGCCTTGGCACACACCTCAGCTAAACCTTTATAATAAATATCGTAAATCGCTCGTAATTCGCTCGTAAATCGCTAATAAATCGCTCGTAATTCGCTATGAACTCCTTCGTAAAACAACAATCAAAACAATATATTTTACTCGAAGACAATACAAAATTACAATAACAAAGCAATTACGTACATGATTGACAGTTAATACAGTGAACCTATTTATAGCTAATTATAGCATAATGTCTCTGTCTGATAATGTAACGATATATTAAAATGTTAATTACTCTGTTCATAACACTCCCCAGGGTTGAGCCGTACACAGTGCTCAACAATACTCCCCAGTATAATCGTAACTAGAAATATGAAAGTTTCACGAACTACAGTCTGTCTAACTGTTCGCATAATCGGTTTCTCAAATAATTAATTAACGGATCATGTTTATGTCTTCCTTTGAAACTCTTTCATCTGTTCCAGTCTTCGCAATTCACCCACTACACATTCTCCTTGCATATTCTCCGTGTTCCTAGCAGTTCGTTTAACTTTTAGTTCGTTGACAAACCTTAACACGTACGCTGTTACACGCAACAGCTTAGCGAAGCTGCTGAAACGGTCACAACTTATGATATCGTTCAGATTCAGTTCAGCTGATTCTTCTTCTTTCGTACTGACGAGTGAATGAATAACCGTCTGCGGTTTCTTAACGGTTTCGTTCAAAGCTGTGTCATCCAAGGCGCTCGCTGCTGGATCCTTCGGCCACTCGCACTGAGGCTTGTAAAGATACTCTGGTCCACTCCACCTGGTCCAGTGGTAGCTGATCCATTATAGACCACTCGCAACTTTGTAGTCGATTTGTCTTTCCTTACTACACCGTGATGTGGAAGATAATGCACGTTGTTTTCGTTCTCTTTGTTGTCGTCGCTTTGATAAGGCACTCGCTCGATTACTCCCGATATTAATTGTTGCTGAATTCCTTTGTCATATTCTCGAAGAGGCTCAGGTTGTCTTGTTAAGTTCTGATGCAACGACCGTAACCGATTGTAACAAAGTTCGTAGTCGACTCCGACCTCAGGATTGTCCTCTTTCCTAGGTAGGCGAACTTCGTACCGTTCTCCTGTAAATCGAATATCACGAATGAAGTTGACATCATCGTTTGGTTCAGCTTGATAATTGTCTATTCCTATGGAGTCTGTTTCCCAAAAACGCTTTAGTGAATTGACAATCTTGTCCTCGTTCGTTGGCGCGGTGAAGTATCTTGATGTGTCCAATGATTCACCAGTTAGGGTGAGATTTGAAACAGTTGGATCTTCGTGTTCAGCAGATTTTGGTACTCGATCGGATAACAACCATCCAAGCTTGCTGCTGACCGCTGTAGGACCACTTTCACCTTTGACAACATCACCTGTGACAATGTCCCAATAATGGTCTGCGCCAATTAGGATATCGATGCTGTTACTTTCATTATCGTCGCCGCCAAAGTCTGCAAGTTCCAGCCCTTCCAGATGCACGTAATTCGTGTTGACTTTCGAGTTCAGTGGAGAACATATTATAGGGAAATTAATTGCTGTAACTTCTACCTCTTCACTTCCGTTTTGGTTCTCGATATTGAATTTGTAGATTTCGCAGTTTTGGCGCTTGCATTTATTGTCCCCAAATGTGTTCAAATACAGTGTTTCCTTTCTAAGAGGTTCCAACTTTAATTTCGCTTGAGTTGAATTCGTAATATAAGAGCGCTGGCTCCCTGTGTCAAATAATACGCGTACGGGAACTGATCTTACACCGTTCGTTGCCTTTGCTCTAGCTGTTTGAAGTAAAACAGTACCCTTACAGATTTTTGTGGCTGTTGTAGTAGATTCCTCATTTTTCGGCTGTTCGGTTGACTTCGCGCTTTCGACTTTCTGATTTCGTGAACATATCGATTGGTGGTGCCTGCCCTGGCAGTGGCGGCACTTTCTTGCATTGTTACAGTCTTTCGCGTTGTGTCCTTTCCATAAACAATTGAAACAACGTCCTGATTCACTAAGAACTTTCTTTCGAGCTTCACAAGGAACAATCTTTTCGCATGATGCTGAATAATGGCGACCACTACAGTAAACGCATTGGATTTTGGAATTGTCGGGCAGCTGACCATTGTTCACAAACATAGCAGCAGCAGTAGGCTTGTTCCCGTTGTTCTTAGAGTTGTAATCTTGATATTTAGAGCCTTGTTGATTATTCCCACTCGACTTAGTGCTTTCGCTCATTTCTCTTGCTTCGATTTCAAGTTTTATCGTAGTAAGTAATTCATCGATCTTCCAAGCTTCTTTGGTGGCCTTTCGTGCGATCTGCAGGCGAATATCGCTTGGCAACTTTGACATTATAATCGGTATCAATAGGCTTCCATATTGTTCCGAGGAAACGCCCAATGAAGCTAGACCACGTACATGCACGCTAATTTTGTCATAGACGTATCTTAAGGAAGATAGTTTCTCTCCTGTGCAAGCTTCTACTTTAAGTATTTCATCCATATGGGCCGCAATGACTTGTTGTGGCCTTCCAAAACGGTCCTGGAGAATTTCTACAGCGGCGTCATAATTCGCGTTCGTAAGATTAAGCCCTTGAATAGCGCGTAGTGCAGTTCCCTCGAGTAAAGAACTCAAATAATTAAACTTATCGACCTTCGTAATAGCATCGTTTTTATGTATCGTAGATTCGTAAGAGTCCCAGAACGTATTCCATTTTGTTACGTCACCTTTAAATTTCGGCAAGGTCAGCTTCGGTAATTTCGGTTTAACATTCGTTGTTGTACTTGTTGTCGCTGTCGGTTGAGACGTGTTCGTATTTACTTCGCTTTGACTCGCACTATTTGATTGTTCGCCACTGTCAATAATCGTACTGTTCGTTGAATTATCATTCCCATAGTCTAGTTCTTGATTCGGTGATAAATGACTCGGTTGGACGTTATTCTTTTCGTTGATCACTTTCGAAATTCCAGGCTTTAAAGCGTTTTCGAGTTTCCTTTTAGCGGTTAATATTCTGGAGACAACTTCTGCCGATTCTTCGATTTCTTGTTCGATATCTTTTACATCGCATAATCCTAAAATCTCTTCGTCAATTTCGCTTAGAATTTTTAATTTCTCTTCGAGTAAAGATCGGATAATTTCGCATCGATCGACATCAACATCGCCGGGTAAATGTAGGAGTTCGTCCGCTTCTTTCGCTAATTTAGTACAGACACCACGATGTCCGCCTCGCTTCGCTCTTAATCGGTCTAAATTCTCTTTCGATTCGGTCATAATTTCGCTTGGATTCAACTTGTTATGTTTTCAAGTTGCCCCACGTTGGGCGCCATGTAATAAATATCGTATATCGCTTATAAATCGCTCGTAATTCGCTCGTAAATCGCTATGAACTCCTTCGTATAAACAACAATAAAACAATATATTTTACTCGAAGACAATACAAAATTACAATAACAAAGCAATTACGTACATGATTGACAGTTAATACAGTGAACCTATTTATAGCTAATTATAGCATAATGTCTCTGTCTGATAATGTAACGATATATTAAAATGTTAATTTCTCTGTTCATAACACTCAGCGAAGCGTTGTAAATCGCAAAGTGTTTCGAATAGGCTTACATGCAACTGCATCTCAACATCAACCAAAAGATCATTTTCTTGAGGAACATATAACGTATCAAGTCTGTTTGAAATTAATGAAATTCAAGTGTATTAAAGGCTCTGTGGTAAAGGTTACTATAGTTTACCCCAGTCGTAATGTTGCTATTCCAACACCTCACGACAAGCAATCCCCATTGGCATAACGGCAAAAACACCTCTTCCTTCAAGTAAACAATTGTTCCATTTGTAATCGAAAAAAGTGATCAATTTTCGAATTTTAAGCTTATCGAGATTTATCGTGAGCCTTTGTGATGAATCACTGACTAGAATCCAACAGCAAACAGCCAATCAGAATGCCGCGTTCGTGAGCGAACTCGGAAAGTACAAAATACCGGGCTTTGCTTGCAGGCCCACTATCATTTCCCTTGGGCCTGCACGCGGGCTAAATGACACCTTCATAATATAAGCTACTTGCTAAAATTGTCAACTGTTTAAGTAAGTTATTAAACGATATTGATGTTCAATAGACCTTAGATCAAAGACCTTAGATCAAAAGATAAGGAGCAGAACCAACCTCACCTGAAGACATAGAAAATGTCCCAATACGATCTGATTTAAAGTGGTCGCGGTTGAAATCGCATTTTTCCATCTTTCGGATTTAAATGTTCTTCCAATTTTCGAACATTTGCCCAAATTCCCAACGGTGGAAAAATGTGATTTCCTGCACTTTTAAATCGGATCGTATTTGGCTATTTGTGGTCGCACTCATACAAGAAAGGTATCATCCTGATCTTTATTGCCATGAAAAAGTGAATGGATAAATGTAATTGTATACAGTAATCGGGTCAGCTAAATTGAGCATAGTTTATATTGCAATTAGTACAATATTAGGCCCAATATTTTGTTATTAAGCCGCATGCAGTTTTAATCCTCTTAGTAAAGCTTTCCTCGCGTTTTTTTTCTCAGAAATTGGTTGACTCTGCGAACGATGTATTGGACAGAGCCGCGAAAAAGGGATTAATGAAAGGAACAAAACGTGGCAAAAAAGATTCTAAAATACCATCTCAACCTATTCCTAAAGATAAGCACCAGTTGGATAAAATACCAAAACGACTTGACAACGTTTCAATCGACGTTACAGATGAAAGGGAACCAAAGACAGAAAGTGAAGACGAACAACGTAAACTTGGCAAAAATAAGTCAATGAAGCCATTTCAGTTTTAGTAATGAAATAATGCAAGTTTGTATATATATTTACATGCATCTATTTATTTTCTCGTAAGTAAAATGCACCATGAGAACGACATTCTTAAACATGCACGTATATCGAAATGTATTTACGAAACACACAATCTTCAGCATCCATTTCACCATATGTATATTTAAATACATTCTCTGATGTATGACGTTCAATCAATGAGCATTCATTCATTCAAACAGCAGCAGACATTGTAACTGAGAACGACCAAACAGGGGGCAGCAAGGAGAACGTATAAGGCCAGTTCTACGAGGACGAAAGACCTCCTGGCTCCTACCTATACAGGGTGTCCCAAAAAGCACCCACTATATTTTGTAGTATTACCCCGCTAGTTTTAATAGAAAGTTCAACTTGTTATACAGGATTAGCTAACATACTGTATATTAATATATTGATATGTAACTGGTTAATCAAATACCAATATTCGAACTGATGGGAATTAGGTATTTAGAAGGGATTTTTAAAGTGTATGCATACCTGTCGTTTCTTAAACTGATGATATGTGGTCCCTATCATAAAAATTTCGTTTTATGTAAAAATTAGTAAAAACCCCAGCAGGGTGTGAAGGGTTACTAAAGGCCACTATTATTGGTGTTCGTCCCGGTTGTGGGTTATTTTTGCTTCTCTTTGTAATGTTGCTTTTTGTTTCTCAGTAAGTAAATTTACTATTGTCCATCTTTCTTCTTAAAATAGAAAATTCAAGGTATTCTCTAATTTCCATAATTTGCAATATTGTTAGAACATTACCTATTTCCATCAACCCAGAATATTGGTGTTGCCACCTTTGTCATAATGCAAACGCTTTGTCACAATGCAAACTATTTTTATCAGTCAAATAGTTATTAGTTTTTCAATCCAATACTAAATCTAAGTATGATATTAGAGCACACTGTATATCGACTACATACAAACATAAGTCTATACAGTACCTTATACTTTTTAACAATATTAATTAAAATTTTATTTATCGTTCGTGTTTTTTGTTACTGTGCGTTTTTGCAGCAAACCAATCGCTTCTGGTGGCGTGTGGAGATATGAACAGATAAAAGTTGACCCATACCCGTACCTGCCTCGCATTCAGTCAACCTCTTTATTCGTAGGAAATGTTTTCACAAACATCAAGTAGCCGAGTTCGATCACGAGATGGCCGTCTGGACAAACAACCAAACAATGATCCATAGCAGACGTGAAGAAGGCGAGCAAATAAGGAAATAATTGCAAAGGAGAACAGAAGGCAAATTGAAGAGGGGAAAAGCCCAAGGATAATAATTTCAAGCCATTGTATCACTTTGAAAGAATCAGTTGGTGCAAGTACCTCTGCTTCAACTAACACTGACTCGTACAGATTAATGATACCCAAAACAACTAAACATAACAACGAGATTGACTCAAGATTATTTGCCCAATTATGTTTAAATGGTTTAACTCTGAGGTGATGGAAAAGAGCCAGAAGACACGTGAGTGTCATCCAGAATAACTTGTAAGATGTCTCGGTGATAACACAAAAAAGAACAACCAACACAAAACGGCGAGCAATCATGATACTTTTCCAATACAGAGCTCCTGGCTCTCGGAATGGCGTTAAAAGCATTTTCTTTAGCACATTCAATTTTTCCTCCGGCTCCACGTTACTGATTCCAGACGAAAAAGTCTTAGAGAAAAGCCAAAAAAGTAAACTCGGAAGTGGCAGAATAAAGCCTATAAGAAGTTGCCTGAGTGTTATTGCTTCGTGATAAAGTTTAAAAGCAGCCCAAGCAAGGATAAATATAAAAGGGATAACGAAGATAGCATTAAATGCGAATGCCGCATATTGCCACCATTCATAACATGCAACATTTCCATTGTAAAACCATCGAACCTCACCATTGATAGAAACACATCGAATGAGCTGAATGCTCACTGTTGCCAAAACTGTGTAACTGAGAAACAAAGTTCTTACACTTGCTGCAAGATAAGGAGCAATGGAAGGAGTGAGAGTGCGACGTACTCGAGAACAGAGATAATGAAGACCATATATAATGTAAATAACAGTCATTGTAGCGAGGATGGGCACGATTTTAAAAAGCTTTTTTGTGTGTGGCATCATCCCTTCAAAGGGACACGTGTTTTCGGAAATACTGAATTGGAAATTGAAGAAACCAAGTAAAGATGGAATGACTTTGGTTTTAGAATACTCTTCTGAGGATAAAGGAGACAGAAACAGTTGTGAGATCTGGTAGAAATAAAAGATTATTTCAACAAAATGTGAATATTGTCCGTTTTCACGTCTGACTTCTTCAGAAGACAAAGCCTGGATGACCTCATCATACTGGTGATTTGCAGACCGACGACACGATAACTTCTTGAACCAAAGCACTTGTTTTACCAAAAATGTTATCACAGGTGGCTTGAAAATTAAAAGGAACGCAGTAAGACAAACGAAAGCGAGAAATGCAAGCCAAAACCGGCCGTGTTTACAATCCTTGGTTAACGTGCAGTGAGTTGATAGTAATGTCTCTGTGTAACCACGTGAACATGTTCCACACATCATCCCAGTGCGTTTTCCCACGCATGCATTATATGTATCAGTATCAGGTTTTGGTGATTTACAATAATCAACTGGACAACGTGTGAACATTAGTGTTGGTGGATGGGAGCCAGATTTGTAACCCCAGAAATTATCTTTGGATTTTATAGAGGGAAAGCATTCTGCTCCATAAGGACATGGAGTGCACACAAAATCTTTGTCTATATTCAGACCTTTGGATTGACCGATTTGAAGTGAGTAAAACGTAGAGTTACATTGCTGACAGAATATGCGAATGACGGTGACGGAGACAGTACATCCATCCAGGTCATTTCTCATGTAGGAATAATCGGATTTGATCAGACGATATCCTAATGGACAGGTGATCACTGATGAATTGTCAAACTCCAAGCGTCCCATTTTGGACACCGTAATCAGATGTTCATTTGACGGTATAGCTTGATCAACTGTGGAATTATAGACTTCAAGTGGTCCATTGCTGTATATCCCGAAGAAAGACGAAAAAACGAATTCGTTTCCATAGACTGACATTTTGTCAATTGTCTCTCTAAAAACGGAGTTGTATATCTTTACCTTTGCTGAGCCGTAAGTAACAATTTGACTTCCTAAAGGGAAGCCAAAATTGTCGATGATTAAACAATCTCTCAAAGTCACCAGACCGTTAGTAATATGCAAAGCATTTCCGGTTTTTGCAATGTTTCCTTGAAAGCGTGTTCTATGAAACTCCACGCTATTTAAGTAATTCCAGGAACGTGGGTGGAAGGCATCATAGCATCTTTTCTTTTTTATTTCATCAGTTGGCCCCAAGATAGAAATAGCTCCACCTGTCCCGTTAAAGGCAGTATTTTTAATAAAAATAGAATCTGTTATAATAGTATTGGTATTGTTATTAGCGTAAATACCTATTGCTCCACCGCTATTGTACCAGCTGGTATTATTGACAAAAATCGAGTTTGAAATCCTCATTATCGAGTTTTTCAGTTGGAGAGAAAGTCCTCCACTGAGATAATCTGCGTAGTTTGAGGAAAATGTAGAATTTTGGCAGCTAATATTATACCGTCCTTGTGCACAAATTGCACTATAATACCCATAATTTCCTGTAAACACGCACTTTTGCAAAACTAAATGTCCGATCGCTTCGGATGTTAGTGACTGACTTAGTGCAATAGCACTGCCTGAATATCGTGCAGTGTTTTCAACAAACCTCACCTTCTTAAAAGTTATTCCTAAATTTGACCATAACCCCACGCTAATAGCGCCCCCAGCAGTGCCAGCTTCATTTCTGGTGAAATTAACATCTTTAAATGTGGCAACAACACTGGCCATCTCGAAGGAAGGAGAAAAATATATTGACCCGCCATATTTACCAGCACTGTTTTGTACAAAGGAAACATTTTGAAGATTTACTGTTGAGTTTGAGTTAAGTTTGAGATAGAACGATCCCCCGTGATCCCGAGCTTTATTCCTCATAAATATACTGTTTATAACAGTGATAGAAACCTTTCCAATCACAGCAATCGCTCCTCCATTTTGCGACAGATTGTCCAAAAATGAAGAGTTCAATATGTTTAGTGAAACAATGTTATTTGAGTAAACCTTTCTCACAAATGTAATAAATATGGCTCCACCTTGACTCCACCCATAAACCATGTTGTTTTTGGTAGAAATATGCTGGATTGTTGAATTTTGAATTGTTATAGTCGTCAATATTGGAGCACGGACAGATACAACTCCACCATACTTACTCCTACGATTTCTGCCATTGCGGAATGAAGAAGATATAAGTGATATATTACATTTATGGCTCGCGTCAATGTCAAATACTCCTCCACCAGGATGAAAGTTGATGAAATGTTTTACTTCAGTATTGAAGACATTCATTTGAACTGATTGGCCAGCGAGTTTCAGCAAACGACAGACACTACTGATCGCACGACAAAACTCTATCCTCACAGCCATGTTATAACCTTCGAAGAATAGTAAATTTTTAGGGGTCCTCAGGTTGTAATATCCATTTTCAAAAAGTAGTACTTTAACGAGGGAAATATTTGTTGTTCCATGCTCATTATGTACGAAAATCATTCCGTTTTCAAAGAATGAATTTTTTTCAAAACTTACATTCTTCATCTCCATATTTATATCGTCGTTGTAAGAATTCAACCAAAGAATGGACGACAATGACGTAGCGATATTAATATCACCATTGCTCTCGAAAACGGAGTCTTTTATGTTGACAACAATATTACCCTTTCTTGTTTTGTTGCTTTTCACAACCATACATCCCACGTTTTGTTGAAACAAGACATTGTCAAGGGTCAATTCGAACCAATCTAATTCAACTATTGAGAAATTCAACGCTGGTAGTTTTGTCTCTCGGAATGTACAGTCTTTAATGTTAACTGAAGTGTCGACGAAATCAAAAGATGAATTTCTAATAGCTAGTCCTTTGAAGTTAACTTGAATTCCTCCTTTTCTTCCACTTCCATCAACCATCCAAAAGTTTCCGTATGAACACGCAATATGAGCACGGGAACCAGTACTAACGAACGAAATGTTTTTGGCAACATAAATTCCTTCATGTTCTTTTCTGAGTGGTTGACATGTATAAGCACGCTGCCATGAAGTACCAATGCCATCGAGGTAGATGATAGAGCCTGCTGACACTAGATTTATTGCATAAGATATAGTACGACACGGAGAGGCTTGGGTTCCACAACTGGTCGTATCTTCGCCAGATAGGAGTGACACAAATGCATCAGACGTTACTAAAGTAACTAAAAAATAACAGTACTGTGTAAATATATTTATAGACTAGGTTAACTGGACAAGTTGATGCCACATCAGCTTCCCCGAGATACACTTTAATGAATAACTACTTTATTCCTCAACTAGCGCATGCTCTTTGCTAATCACTGTGTGCAATTCCGGTCCTAAGCCCGCAAAACGAAGTCTGGGACTAGGCTTATCCTAATCCAATATTTACAGAATAACTCAAGAGATTTAAAGGTGATGTAAAGTTAGCCTGCGTAGCAGTCGTTGTATTTTTTAATTTTATTTGTGGATATTTTAATCTTATTTGAAAAGTATCCTCAAATAAAAATATCCTCAAATAAAATTTTAAAAATAAAGCGACTGCTATACGCAGGTTAATGTAAAATCCGTAATGAAAACAAATGCTTTGTTTACATTTTGAACTCAGTGCTACAGTTGTAAAATATGATTAGATATATATTATACTGGATTTTTAACACTTTTCTGGTTCGCTATGCTTGTAAATTAATACAGATTAGAGATTCAATTCAAGAAAGTTCGGAAAGGTGCGAAATATTAACAGCCTGCACAGAACGGACTTTACATCACCTAATAATTACCTGTTTTCAAGGACACCGCAGTGACAGTAGCCTGCATGGCAGGCGGTTCCTAAAATTGGGCAAGCCTGGGATTTTAGACCGCCTGCCATGCAGGCTACAATGACACGGGGATGGGTGTAATTACTCATAATTATCATTTGCACACCTCGCTGAAGGGGTGTGTGTGAAAAAGTGTCAGGGGTGTGGGAAGAAGGAAGAAAAATACATTAAGCTTAAAATTCATGGTAATAGGAATTTCACAAGGTTGGAATTACTTTGTTTCCACTACAATTTCACCATATAGAAATGCGGGAAATGGCCGCTGAGAACTTACAAAATTCAAATTTTTTGGGTGAGGCAATCCCCAGAGGCCCTTAGCTGTGCAGGACCTAATTGGTTTATACTTTATACCAAGAAATTTAACTGGCTACAATAAGCTACTGTCTAATATGCTCCTGTCATACATCGTAAAATGTCAGACAGACACGTGATCCTATGTTGAAAACTCGAAATTGATCAATTGCATGTGAGCGTATAATAATAGAAGATAATTCCGGCGCTGCACCGGAATCACAGGGCCGCAGGTTCGCAGGTAATATAATTATGAGCCAAACAACCGTGGCTAATATGTACCGTTGGTCAGCTGAGCAAAACAAACAATTAAGAGGGAAAATCTTTTGTATGTTGCGTAACACGTGCTCAAAACTAATGAATATACTTTTTCACTTGGTTATGACTATATTCAATTTTTAGAATTTTTTATATGTTTCTCAAGCGGCAAACAAACTTAAAAGGTATGTTTACTGCTTTATCTGTAAAATATTGCTAGGATGAAGAGATTTTAGATGGTACGCGAAAGAGAAAATGATGTCTGAAGTTCAGTAAGTTTTGCTTTAATATATTGCTGTACTGTAGCTGTAAATATATGGCGTCAATTTTACAGCAATCAATGATAATTGTATTTAGGTTAAGTAGACAATATTTAACTATTATTGTGGGTTTCTCAACCGCCATATATATACAATCATTTAAAAAGGTTGCTAGCTGTGTAAGCTACAGAATAAAGCTAAAACAAAGTAAGTTTTGCAGAGAGGAACGCCAAAAAGATTTTAGGTTTTGAACACTTTTCATCGCAACTGATACGCGACATTGAAAAATGTTCCCTCTTAGTGATATTGTCAGCCCTAGTCAGACGAGAATGAGAGTTCGTGAGAGTTTATATAATTTCTCAGCTCTCATGATGAAATCGCATCTTTAGGAGGAATTGAATGCTCTTCCAATTTTCGAACATTTTATCTGATGACGTCACATAACTACAACGACCTGAATTACAAAAGCGCTTCTTGAGTAATAACTTTGAAACACAAAAGGCCAATTTCCACTCAAGAAAATTTTCCGCGGAATTAGCAAAAATTTGTAAAATGTGATTGGCCGACACAAATTTTTCGTCGGAAAAAAATTTTGAAGTTGAAAATTTTCAACTTATTTTCGGAAAATTTTCTGTCCGTGGAAACTTTTCTTGAGTGGAAATCATAGTGGAAATGCGCCTCAATACAATAGTCAATACAGTATTTCAAGTATTAAACATATGAACAACGATAGCGAGTGTTTCACCGGGATATCCAAACACGAGAGAACAATGTATGAAAAGTACATTGTTTTCGAGTGTTTGGATATCCCGGTGAGACACGAGCTCGAGTTGTTTATATGGCTTCTCAAATGAATCGAGACGTAACCGAGAATGTTTTGGTTTGCTGATTTGAATATAGAATTCTTAACCAAGCATAACGTAATTAGGAATTCTCAAGTAATTTTGCATGCGTATATAATTAAGATATTTGATGAAAACACTAGTGACTTTCATCAAGTTTCACCGGGTTATCCAAATGGCATCTTGTGATCAAATAGGTGATTATCATTCATGGCTGAATTGCTCATGAATGATTAATGTCATAATGAATTTGAGAAGTAAAAATATGGACATTTTCAACTTCGCACTGATTTGGAATAAACAACAATTACGTGCATGACTGGTCAGATAACTAAATTAAAAGTATTATTTATTTATACATAGGCCTAATTAAGAGGGTGACTTAGGGATGAACAACATATTTAACATGAGAAAACCGAATCGAGTTATTTCAGTTCACATCAGATTTGTAGGGAAATTTTGTCCTTTAATTAAAATAAAACTAAGGTCAATTACCGAAGGTTTATGCATAATAACTGCAATAAATATTGTATTTAATGCCAGAATTCTGTAACGCGATATTATTTTTATATTTTTATTTCATAGCTCACAATATAATCGTGTCGAATAGTAGTTTCATAATGAAATTTCACATATGACAAGTTTCTGTTTCATGTTACATGTATGAAAGCTTGACATGTGAAATCGATTTCACATGCGAAGTGTTCCAATTTCACGCAACTAGACATGACTAGTTTATGTATTTTCAGACTTTTTCAGATCACAGTCACAGCAGCCACCATGCAAGCAAGAGTGACCGTCATACTTAGGCTTAGAGTGACCGTGCCATATACAGCTAATTCAAAAAAGGTTAATGTCCTTTGCAAACCTTAAACTCTAAACCTTAAACCTTAAACTCTAAGCCTGCAAAGCATAATGGGAGCATCATTTAATCAGTTTAGAAATCACATATATGGGGCTCATTTCTTAGGGCCTGTTCATATGGGCAAAAGTTATCCCTGTTAACGAGAAAACTTTTCGACTAGCCAAATACTTTTGTTCTGTTCATATGGAGAAACGTTATCCCGCTTACCGGGTAAAGTTTTCGGCTGTGACGTAGCACTGAATTCGAACATCAATTGAATTGAAAAGTTGCTGACACGACAGAAAGTTATCCCGCTAAGCGGGAAAGTTGTGTTCATATGGGAAAAACATCCCGGTCACCGAGATCTCGCCTGTCAGCAAGCGAGATCTCGGTACACGGGAAACGTTTTGTCTCATATGAACGCAGTGTAACTTTTCATATTATTTTCATACCAAGGCGAGATCTCGCTTGTGAACTTGTCGAAACGTTTTCTCGCTAACCGGAATAACTTTTGTCCATATGAACAGGCCCTTAGACATGGTAAATATCTCCTTACGAGAACAATTCGGCATTCACAAATCCAACATTCAACTACTAAGCTCGAAACTTGTGCTCCCATTAAGCTTTGCGCGCTTAGGGTTTAAGGTTTATAATTCAAGGTTTGCAAAGGACATCCTTTTTTGAATTAGCTGTATATATAGGTATTTGTATTTGTATTTAATTATCTTTATACACGGTAACCAATCAATTGTGAATTGACATTAATTTTCATAGGGCATAGGTGATATATGGGTGATATTATATATAGGTGATACATATATAGGTGATAGCTAGGTCACGGTGCCGTCGCTTAATCCGAGGCTTTAAATTATGTAAGTAATATTTCCTTACCGTTAAGTGAGAGATGAAGTATAACAGATAGAATTAAGGCATTCATTTCTTGCTATTAAGTAGCTTTGATTCAAAATACTTGAGTCGCTATACACAATTCAATTAACGAAGTCTTGCCATTGTCGTCATTTGCAGTTCAATAATATGCAGCACTCTCAATACGGAATCCAAGGTTTTGATTTACAACGATGCAAACATTGAAAATATTAATTAATAATGCATTGTCGGTGTTTGGCATTTCAAGTAGCTCATTTTCTTATGATTGACACATCGTATTCTGTCTCGCACGAGTTTATAATTATATTTCTCTTTTGCTTTCGGGAAACACAACGTTTGAAGAGGGAGTGGACTGTCTATCGTTTCACCTAATATGGTAACCTGAATATTAACACGAGCTTTTCATTTTTATTTCATTTGCCCAATCAAATATACATTTATCATTAATCATTCATTACATGAAAACAATATAGGGGTAGGAATCAATATAGGGCTAGGAGGCATTCCTTTCGTACTATGCAACTTTGATTCACAACACTTGAGTCGCTATAGGCTACATGCACAATTCAATTAATTAACGGAGTCTTGCCATTGTCGTCACTGCGGTTCAATCCAAGCCCAAGGTTTTGACTTACAATGAAGCGAGCATTGAAAACGGTTAATTAATTAATATATATCAGTATGTATTGTCAGCGTTTGACATTTCAAGTAGCTAATTTTCTTATGACACATCATATTCCGTCTGGCACGACTTATAACTAACTTCTCTTTTGCTTTCAGGAAACACCACGTTTGGAGAGGGGGCGGACTGTCTATCGATTTGACCAAATATGGTAACCTGAATTATTAATTTATTTGCCCAATCAAATATACATTTATCATTGACAGCAATACATGAACAAACAATATATGGCTGGGAGCCTACTTGCTGAATTTTTGCTTTAAGCTACAATCAGTTTAAAGAAATGTTGACAAAAATATTGTATTATTGTATTCCTATACATGTAGATAAAAATATCTTTTAATTTTAATTTAATTTAATGTATGAACAAAAACCATGCATCTAAAGATAAGCAGCAGTTGGATGAAATACCAAAACGACTTGACAACATTTCAATCGACGTTACAGATGAAAGGAAACCAAAGACAGAAAGTGAAGACGAACAACGTAAACTTGCAGGCAAAAATAAGTCAATGAAGCCATTTCAGTTTTATATATGAAATTGTATATATTATAAAATATATATATATATATATATATATATATATATATATATATATATATATATATATATATATATATATATATATATATATATATATATATATATATATATATATATATATAGTCAATGAAGCCATTTCAGTTTTATATATGAAATTGTATATATATGAAATTGTATATATATATATATATATATATATATATATATATATATATATATATATATATATATATATATATATATATATATATATATATATATATATATATATATATATATATATATATATATACAGGGTGTATCAAAAAAAGCGCAATCCTCGACTGAAATGTAAATTGCTAAACAAATAATAGACGAAAACGTTAAAGTTTACATTCATTTTAAAGCGTAGCCATTCAGCTTTCTAACAGTGGGTTGTTTCTTAAATTCGACTCATTGGTTCGCGGGTAATAATACTTTACGTTATTGCGATTGGAGATTAGAAAAATTGAGATGGAATAACAAATCGTTCTCATGAAAATAACTGATTTTTTCATTAAAACAAAATAATGTTGCATTTTATTAAATGGATT